AAATTTCAAATTCTTGAAACAATATTATGGGTATGATGCTTACATAAAATGAAAGACTACATTGAGTTTCTACTACCCAAATCTTTGGGTAAGATATTACCATTATATATAGTCATAAAAGTCAGTGATAGGATTTTAATAGAAAAGTCAAAAAGAAATATTCTTCAGACAGGGATGGCTCATGCCTGTAATCCTAGCCACTCAGGAGGCTGAGATTTGAGGATCACAGTGTGAAGCCAACCCTGGGAAGAAAGTCTATGAGACTGTCATCTCCAATTAACTACCAGAAAACCTGAATTGAGGCTGTGGCTCAAAAAGGTAGAAAACCCAGGCACAGCGCTCATTAAGCCCCACAACCACCACCACCAACAACCAAAAAAAAAAAAAAAAAAAAAAAAAAGAAAGAAAAAAATATTCTCAAAAATGGAGAAAAGCAGTAATGGAGTAATATAGAATTGGAATAATACAGAATTAATCAAGGAAATACATGTTCTAGCAAATTCCACTATTCTTACAGAATATATTTTTCACTAAACACACAGCCTTTGGGTGATAAATTTTTGCCATAAAAATCTATCTTCAAATCAGATATAACCACACTATAAAATTTTAAATAATTAATTTATATATGTATATTTATTGTTGTTATTATTGTTATTATTACTGTAGTTCCGGGGATTAAGTCAGGCCTATGCAACAATTCTTGCTCTTGAGCTGTGCCCTCACCCTCTACAGGAAATGCTGTTCTCTGGAACACTTCAGTTTTATACTTTGATAGAAAATCCTCATACATAGCTTTGATCCATTATGTGCTGATACAGCAAAATAGTAACAGCTATGAGTTTCCATACATGCTTCACTTTCTGTGAGCCAGGCACTGTGCTGCTTTATGTATTTCTCATTCTTAATTCTAATTGTGTGAATGAAAACAAGCCCAGTTCAGAGAAAATAAGTTGCCCAAAGTCATTGTTGTTAGCTGAGAGAAGGATGTAGTATCTGCTTTGATCTGTTCCTCAAATCCACATTCCTAATCCCTACTTACTGAATTACCAGGTTCCAGCCAGAAGACACATGATTCCTGTCCCACACATCAAGTAAAATCTACTATAAATGTTGTAAGATTGCCTCCATGTTATTCTATACGAGTAACTGTGTCTGTCAGCCACGCATTGTAAAAATAATACAGATTAATGAAACATCCCAAATTGCAGTGTTTTTCTGTAGTTAGTAGTTATTCTCATGTTCACACGACAGTAAAGATAGGTGACTGTCTTTTCATTTATTCATATTGGTCAGAGCTAGACATTTCTAAGGGTGTCAGGGTATTTGCCTCTAGCTTGCAGATCACATTCAGTTCTCATGTCTGGATATTCTACTCCCTTATACAATCATTAGAGTGAGGGAAAAAATGTAGGTACTCATCTTCTGTGTTTCCAAACTTATAAATTCATGAGGCCTTTTTAAAAAATCAATGTCAGCTATGTAATTTCACTTGCTAGATTCTATAAATATGAGGTACAAAAATGAGAAACACATGCATAAAAAGACAAGGATTTGTGATTCGTCTAGATTATCTATAATACAAGCTCTATTAGTTGGCCCTTTTCCCCATCCTCAGAAAACTCATTACCTGAAGGAAGTGTCGGTAGAACTGCAGAATTTACTTCTATGTCTTCATTGTATTACTTACATTACTTAGCTTATTTTATACCTCTATAACCATAGCCAATATAGCTCCTAGTGATTATTATTTTTTCTTTTTGCCAGTCCCGGGGCTTGAACTCAGGGCCTGGGCACTGTCCTTGAGCTTCTTTTGCTCAAGGCTAGCACTCTACCATTTGAGCCACAGCATCGTTTTTGCTTTTTTCTGTTTATGTGGTACTGAGGAATCGAACCAGGGCTTCATGCATGCTAGGCAAGTACTCTACCACTAAGCCACATTCCCAGCCCGTGATAATTTTTTTATAGGTTTCAGTTCAGATTCTTGCACTTGATACTCAGGTGCTCTCTCACTGACTCAAACCTATGGCCTCCTTTTTTTTTTTTTGTACTGGTAATATCTGAGTAGGGTTCATCCTTCTGCATTGGCACATGCCTGGGGCACAAGCCTGCTATTTTTTTACTTCCAGCTGTAGATGGGATGGCAGGTGCAACATCATGACTAGCTTCCTCCATTCATACGGAGTCTCAGAGTTTCTGACTGGGCTAAGCTGGAACTGTGATCCTCCTCATCTCCTTTATAGACCGGTATAGACCTGTAGTATCAATCTTTAGCACTATCTTCTAATTTGTCTTCTTTATTTCAATACTGTGCAATTATCAATGTAATTATTTCATGTCTCTACCATGACCCTAGTATTTTTTTTTACTTATATTTCTGCTTGCTCTCCAATTCCATCTAATTTCTTTATCTCTTACTGAATTTTTATTTTCTATAGTAGCTCATTCATAGCTTTTAATTCTTTTTTTTCCCCCATGAATCCTACCTCTCCTTATATTTCAGCTAATTACAGAGTGGGCTCAGGACCTGACTTTGATGCCAATTCCTTTCTACATATTCCAGTCACTGCTCACTTAGCATCCAGAATAGAGACAGTCACAAATACTTAAAATGAATATTTGTTAAATGTATGAAGTTACCTTCCAGTTCTCCCATATGACCCAGGTCTATATTTTGTATTGTAATTGTTCCCTCACAAACATTTGTTGAAGCAAGCTTATCGAATAAAGGCTCAAAGACTCCTGCATCTTATACATTTGAGTTACAGACCATGAAGCAAACTTTTAAAAAGTAGTTTCCTGATTTTTAAAATCACAAAATAAAGGCATCTTTTCCTGAGAGGTTTTTTTTTCTTTTGATGATGTACCATATAATCTGCTGTCAGGGGCAAGGATGATAAATTTCGAAGTGAAAACAAACCTTCAGTTATGTAAGCCATGGGTTGGGAGGGGTAGGTGGGAATGCTGAAAGGGATCATTGATCAAGATGTACTGTTTAATAAACTGCTTTGGTGAATGGAATCTCTTTTGTACAACAACATAAAGATAACAGAAACAAACATTCCATGAAAAAAGAAATATAATCTCCCTTCTTAGAAGTGAGGATACTAAAATGGAAAAAGGCTATGCTTTGATATATTTCACATTCTGTGCCTTACATTGGTCTTCTGAAAATCTGTTTTAGAATACAGACAATGGAAAAAGTGAGGGAAAAAAAACATGGAGTAGAAGGGCAGGATCTAGACCTCTTAACACCAAATCTATGGCTCTCCATTGATTTAGGAAAGCATGTCTTCATTTTCTTTACACTGGATAGAAAAGACCCCAATATTAGAGGTTTAGTACTTTGTTCTAACCAATTGAATCAACCTGGTATCTTAGCAATAGCTGAAAAAGATTCAATGCTCCAGAAAATAAAAACTTTTAAAAGTTTGTAAATACTATTAACTTTATAGACTCTCCTGATATGGCTGCTTAGGAATGTGTATGCATACACCTATGCACACATACACACACTAAGTTATTTATTGCTTTTAGTTAGTTGTGGTCTATTTCTTGTATAAAATTCCCATAGAAAAATCTGATGTAAATGTTGGGTTATAGAAAATTCAGTATTAAATTTCAATATGGATGAGAAGTTCATGTTTTATAATTTTAAAAATCTTTAGACAGTGAAGTGATACGCACAGTGAAAAAAATTGTAATGAGACCTGAGGGTTGCTAAGGTCATACAAATTAACAAAAACAACAACTAGGGGAAAGTTCTTTTAAGAAAATAACATTTGGTTCCAGATTAGAATGCTGAGAATAAATCAACCATCTAATGATGAAAACGCTAGTCAGAGGGGTCAACAGTAGGATGGGTTTGGGAACTAGTGTATTATCAGTATAGGAGGAATGGAGAGACACAGGTTCAGGAAATTAGGCTGGGGAAGCAGGACCTTGCATAACATGGTAAAGGTGTGGTTTACTTAAAGAGCAATTGATTACTGTTAGAGTCTTTAGGCACAGAAATGATGTTAGGTAGGGTACTAAAGGTTGGATTTTAGGGAAGAAGATTAAGCACAGAGGCCAAGGTGAAGGCCTTTACAATGGGAAAGGCAGAATAAGGCAAGTTTTGAGTTTGAGAGGTAAACACACGGATTTGTAGAAGCAAGAACATCTAGGAAGATTCCAGGGTTTTTAGCATGAAGCAACTGGGTAAATGGAAGTGAAATTACAACTGGAATATAACTAAATCTCTGCCTTGTGAGTATTAAAATATCCCAAGTACAGGCAGAGACATCTATATTGGAATATGTCAAAATGTATTCAGATTTGATATGGGGAATAATTTCTAAGAAAATTTAAGAAACCTTTTCTGACAAATCAATTTCAAATTATATTTGTTTATATATACACATATACTTACAATTTTGTGTGTATATGTCTGTCAAGATATCTCTGTATATTAATATAATTATATATATTTGACTATACAGAGAACTGTGCTTACTAGGAGATACTAACATATAGAGGAGATTTAAACTGCACACAGTTTAAGGTGTCTATATTGACCTACCTAATATGGGAAATGAACAGAAGAGTGCTGAAAATTGACTCCAGGACAATCAAACATTCAACTATTTAGTAAAGAAGGAAACAACCAAGAAGTCTAAAGAAATGTAACCAGAGAGAAAACTCCAAAGAACAAAGCTTATTGCAAAGCTTATTTTGAGGGTCTCGGAGGAAATAGATGTTCAATTGGACAGAAGTGAAGACAGAATCAGAGGTTGGGAAATACAACTAGTGGGTATTTCTTGCAAAACATATTGCAAAATTTTTGTCTTCAAATAGTGCCTTTGTATGTGTAAAATAGTACCCACGATCCTTGAAAAACATATTAATTCTTTTGACATAAAGATGACAGATGACATAAATGCTAGTAACCACTTTTTAAAGATATTTTACTATAAGAAATAAGGTAAATCACACATTTTAACAAGAACACAAAATTTTCAGCTACAAAAATTTTACTATCATTATGTACAAACTAAAGACACTCTACATATCCTCCAACAAATTAAAATCTCTCCTTGTTCAGAATATTACTAACCTAAAGGAACTGTAGACATTGAAAAGACAGCTATTACATACAATATTCATGAACAAACACAATAAATGTGTCAGATTTCATGTCATTATAGACAAGGGGAATGGTTTAGCATAGCATACCACTGTCATCCAGTCATATTTTCATGAACATGTGCATGGATGCATACAACTAAGCATACATGAAATTAAGATATAAGGTACAGTAATATCTGTGGCTGAATTGACATATTCCTTTTTGATTTTGAAGAAATGAGTAAAAATCACAGTCCAGTGAGCAGCGAAGTACTTTTAAGGATTGTTAAATCTCATCAAAGAGGTCTTCTGGACTACTGTTTCTTAGAGTTTCTAAAGACATGTTCTCAGCAGAGATGTGCTCCTTTTTCAATGTCTCAGGCAGTGAAGGGTCACACCTGGAGTGAAAGAAAATCAAGATACCATAGTTAAAAAAATATTCCATTGTACAGTCGAAGAAAATGAAGACACACCTTAGTTAAATTCTGTTTAATTATTATTTAGAGATTTGGCTTCTCTCTATACTGTGATCTATAGGGAAAAAGAGATGAAGGACATTTATTTCTTTTAATTGCTTTAAAATTCTTCTATCTCTATTATGCACTAATAGGAATTCAAGAGAATCTAGTCACAATCAAGGTCAGGAAATAAAATATCCTATCCTCTGTGCTGTAATCATGTTTACACCAAGATAGAAGCTTTTCAAGTCATTCTTTGAATGATTCCCAAAGAATTTTAACTATGGCCATCCGTTTTTAATGTCACAGTAGCAGGAAGTTCTGATGGTATGAATTTCCTCTAGTGGTCAGCTGATCAGATGATTAGATGTATATAAAAACTTTTCATAATTGTGGCAGTTGTTGACGAACTGCTATAAGTTCACAATAATATATTTTCATTGAGTAAACTAAATTTTACTTAGGTCCAGAACTGAAGTTATTGCCTTATTGAACTGATCTCTCTCTCTATAAATGTTTCCTTCTCTACAATAATCACCATTGATATGCTGAGTGGAGGGAGGACAAGATGGCTATAAAAGTAAATCTTTGAACATATAGTTATGTTCTTGAATAAACCATGATAGTGCCCATAGAATCAAAATAACAAATGCTCAGTATGAACAATTACATGTAACCAATGAGACAATTATGATTACGATGGATCAGACTGGTTAACTGGTTATACTCAGTAATACCTCTACCTTTCCAACTTCAAAGCCATAGACAGCATCACAGGAGCTCCTAACAGATGAATGAGCTAAAGGTTTGAAGTTAGAACACAGTGTTGAATTCAGTCTATTTCTTACCAGCGATGCGACTTTGGTCAAATCATTTAACTTGGTGACACTTTTGTTACATCACTTGTTAAATTGGCAAAACAATGTCTGCATCACAGGTGGTCTAAAGACTAACTAAGGTTATGTAAATACTTGTAAATCCCCGCAGAACATTTGGAAACCATTACCACTAGCTGCCAATATTGAATAAACTACATAAGAGTTTAATCCAAAAATATTAAGGATGTGTAGATGATGAGAACTTTAAAAACCCTGTAATTCTACTTGCAAAGTTAATTAGAAATGAATCCATCACATATTTTCCTTGGCCTCTTGAGTACATACAATTAGATGGAATGGCTATCACTAGATCTGGGATTTGTTCTCTTATCCTGAACAAGTCAAGTGAAGACGACAAAGCCTTACAGAAATGCAAAGGGAGGCAGGTGCTGGTGGTTTATGCATGTAATCCTAGCTACTCAGAGACTGAGATCTGGGAATCATGGTTCAAAGCCAGCCCAGGCAGGAAAGTCTGTGAGACTCTGATCTCCAATTAATTACCAGAAAATCGGAAGCGGTGCTGTGGCTCAAGCAGTAGAGCGCTCACCTTGAGCTGAAGAGCTGAGGGATAGTGCACAGGCCCAGAGTTGAAGCCCATGACTCACAGGAAAAAAAAAGAAAAAAGAAATGCAAAGGTGCTAGGCATTAGTAGACTGTTAATATGACAAGTGCAATCCTCTGGAATTGCAATGTTAAAATTGCACATACACACACACACACACACACACACACACAATATAAAATCATACTAATGGGTAAATATGCAAAACATGTTCCTCCAAAGAAGAACAAAATGATAACTATACAAATAAGAGTACATTTTATACTTGTAACAGTTTTCAATGCCAACTTAATATATTTTCACATTTTTCCCTGGTAATAAATGACTTAGAATTGTGTTTAGAAAAAAAAAAACCCAACAGAACTGAATTATTTCAGACTTGGAAATTGCTCTGTAAATCTTTTGTTCACAGTCTAGGACTTATACAAGAAGAACATAGACATCTATCAATTTTGTTTTAAATTATCATCATCATCAGACAAAAATTGCACTCATATGTGACAAGTCTGAAGGAAATAGCTTCTTAGTGTTATATTTATAGATTTCATGTCTTTTGAAATCAAGAGGTGCTTAAAGTAGATTTTGACTCCTGTTCAGAGTACTCATTCACAACAGGATTCAGGTTCACAAGAATTGGTCAGTGGAGATCACTGTTAATAGTTTTCATATCCATTGAAAATCAAGGGAGGAAATGTGGAACTCTTCTCACAATAAAAATTGAATTATTTTCAAAAACTTTTAGTAAACTCAGAAAAGGCACAAAGAGAACAGTAAATGGTCTTTTCCTTATTTTGCATTACTTCTGTTTTAAGAAAAAAATGTATAACTTTACATATTTATAGCCTTTCAAGTCTAGATATTTTTGCCTCACAATATGTTTAATATCTTTGTACATTGAACAATTAAGATGTACATTACATTCATTATTAGTTTCAATTTGGTATATTAAATTAATATTTAAAAATTGATATTTAAATTGATATTTAAAAGTGGGTTGGTCCCACTTTTTGTATTATTGTTAAATTATGCAAAATAATTAATATCCATATATACAGATCTCAGCATATATACCGTATTATTTTTCATGAACGTACTTGTTTCTAGAAATCATGTGTAGCTAAACTCTGAAAACTCAGAGAACCTGAACTGAAAGTCTGTAGGAAATGAGCTAAACAAGTAATTTAAAACTTGGAAGTTCCCCCTGTCTAATTAAATTATAGTCATTAGTTATGGCTTAGTTTAAATTCAAAACTTTCCAAAAAAACTTAAAAAAAATCACATCCAGGCGGATAGTTTTTTCTTCAGAGCATTTAGAGTACCTAATATTTGTACCCTCCATTACAATATGTAGTTTTATTCATTTAATCAAAAAATTTTGAAAATGCTCCAGGAATAACTAACTCATTGTGTTAAGGAAATATGAGTACAATAAGTATAACATATAACTCTTAATCTTAGAAAGCCTCAGTTTTTACTTTACTTGTTCAAATATGTATTTTTATCCCAAAATTATTAATGTGAAGGTAAGGGTATAAAGTAATATGTTCACCCAGAATGATTTATCACTTTAGAAATCTCTATAAATATAATAGAAATATTTAGATACTCCCCTCCCCCCAGATTTTCAGATAATTTCCCATGGGCAACTTGTTTTAATAGGAAGGATTCTGAATTCTGAGTCCAGGATCAGGAGATCATTATAAATGCTCCATGACATCAAGATTTTGGTTGGGTCACTACACCTTTCTGTACTTAATTTTCTTAATTTAATTTGTGGAAATTTAGTTACTATAGATGATTTGGAGCTCTCTCATTTCCCAAGTTCTGAGATAGTTTTCTTTAACTGAGTTTTCTTTAGCTGAGCATAAACTACTTTGCAAAATACCAGTCATCAAAAAACCTCTTAGGAAACAATGAGTTATTTGAATTAAAGAGAAAAAGTTAATGACAAAATAAGAAACTGTAGAGTTAAAAGGCTGCAGTGTGTTTTTTTTTACCCAAAATAAAAAGAATAAGTTCTATTGCATGACTAAAACCTGGCTTATGTGCCAAATCTGAAGAGGAAAGGATGGCCAATAGACACATGAAGAAATGTTCAACCTCCCTAGCCATAAAAGAAATGCAAATCAAAACAACATTGAGATACCACCTCACCCCAGTTAGAATGGCTAGAATCAAGAACTCTAATAACAACAGATGCTGGAGGGGATGTGGACAGAAGGGAACCCTACTGCATTGTTGGTGGGAGTATAAACTTGTTCAACTACTTTGGAAAGTAGTATGGAGGTTCCTCAAAAGACTCCACATACAGCTCCCCTATGACCCAGCAATCCCACTTTGGGGCATTTACCCAAATGATCACAAACCAGACCACACTAAAGCTACCAGAACAACTATGTTTATTGCAGCATTATTTACCATAGCTAAGATATGAAACCAATCCAGATGCCCCTCAGTAGATGAATGGATCAAGAAAATGTGGTATATATACACAATGGAATTCTATGCCTCCATCAGAAAGAATGGCATTGTCCCATTTGTTAGGAAATGGAAAGACTTGGAAAAAATTATATTAAGTGAAGTAAGCCAGGCCCAAAGAAACATAGATCCCATGGTTTCCCTTATTTGCAAAAACTAGTATATGTCTGAGACAAGCAGAAAAGGTCAGATAAGTTGATGTTAGGCGAAATGAACTGCAAGATAAGGATTCAAATTTTTTTTTGTCTTTCTTGCGATTGTTTCTAACATATTTATAAGATATTTCTTTGTTGCTTTGTATGTCCCTCCCTCACGGTATAACCCTTGTTTTCACTGTATTTGATGTTGGTATAATTTGTGGAGGGGAAGGGGAAAAAACAAATTGTTTAAATAGGGATACAGGTGGACCCATTGCAACAATGAGATATACAAGATGTTATGTCAAAAAATGAATTTTACAACTTTGGCAGGGGAGTGAGGGGGATTTGGGAGGGGGGAGATGGGAAAGGATGGGAAGGGGAAACAAAGGAGAAGGCAACAATGCTTAATAAGAAATGCACTCATTACCTTGCCCATGTACAGTATTTTCACAATGAAAAAAAAAAAACGACTTCAGAGATTCTCATGTTCTATTTCTTTAACTTCACAGTGCAAGAACATGCACACATACAAACTTAAATCAAAATTATACTACCATTTTCTAATGAATAATGTGTGTGTGTGTGTGTGTGTGTGTGTGTGTGTGTGTGCGCACACACACACACAGATATTTTGGTAAAGACATTTTCTTAGCCAACTTTAAAATGGTATCACCGGGAAAGTGATATCACATCTGGGAAAGTAATCTTATCTTATTCAAATGAGAAGCATTAGTATAGTTTGGAGTGAATTACTTGCATTTTAGAACATATTCTAAGAATATTACTGAAATGTGTCAACGTGTCAACCAGAGAAAATTCAGAGGTCCAGAAAAATGTGTAATGATTGATGAGATCATGACACTTTAAAATCCATGCTCATTT